GTCCTTATTTTTTCTTGCATAACTCTCATCTTTGTAAAAGGTATGAGACTGGTGAGTCTGACCTTCCCCCTGACCCCCATGTTCTCTCTCCTGGGTCCCAGTATCTGCACTGGAAAGACGTCTCCATTGAAAGGAACAGAGAGTAATCTTTAAGTATATTTAGTATAAGAATGCAATCGAAATGGAGTCCAGGAATGCCACTATGATGTAAAGAGCCACCAAACATTATTACATAAGAATGTCTTGACAATAAGTTAAAAGGGAACTGACTCAATCCTTGACACAGCACAGAAAAAGTTTTCCATTATCTTCTACCATCCTCTGCACAAGTTGCTCTGTCCTTGTAGGCTTAAAATTTTAATAAATACCCTCCTGATCATCTTTTAAAAATCCAAGACTTAAAAAAAAAAAAAAATCCAAGACTATAGTACCTGCCAGCTTTTAGTTAAGAGCTTTCACAATTTCCTTCCTCTTAAAAATATTCTCACAGGGGCACCTGGGTGGCTCAGTCTGTTAAGCATCTGCCTTTGCAGGTCATGATCCCAGGGTCCTGAGATCAAGCCCTGTGTCAGGGTCCCTGCTTGGGAGGGAGCCTGCTTCTCCCTTCTCCCTCTCCTTCCTACTGGTGCTCTCTCTCTCTCTCAAATAAAGAAATAAAAAAATTTTTTTAAATATTTTATTCATTTATTTGACAGACAGAAATCACAAGTAGGCAGAGAGGCAGGCAGAGAGAGAGAGGAGGAAGCAGGCTCCCCACTGAGCAGAGAGCACAATGCGGGGCTCGATCCCAGAACCCTGGGATCATGACCGGAGCCGAAGGCAGAGGCTTTAACCACTGAGCCATCCAGGCGCCCCAAAGAAATAAAATCTTTTAAAAAATTCTCACTGTTAAGAACTACTAACAATGGTTGCCTTTGATGGTTGCAAATCAGAAAACTCACCTAAAACTCTTTTATATTTATCATTAATACAAAAATAATCACTTTAAAAAACAAAAAAAACCCTGTGAAACAAAACAAAAAAAAGGCATTAAAAAATGTTGTAATTCAACAGAGCTCACTACTGAAACATCATATTGCTGCCTTTCCAGCTTTTCCTATCACATTTTTATTACTTTTATAAAAAAGGAAAATATTGTAGGTATTTAAGTAAAGTAAAAACTGAAAGATTTTGTCTGTATAATAGCCTACATGAGAAAAGAACACTGGGGATCTTGTCTTGGCTCTGGTGCCAAGCTATTCATTTGACCTTGGGTAAGCAAGTTAACCTCTCTGGGATATGCCTGACAAATGTGGAAGTAGATGATCTCAAGTATAAAGGGTCTTTCCTCTCTACTCAAACAATCTACAATTATAAGACCTGAGTTTTCAAAACTTTCCACAGGTCATCTAGACCAAGGGCTGTGACAGCCTGGTTTTTAGAGCTCTCTGAATTCTCACATAAAAACAGAACCCCTTAGGGGCGCCTGGGTGGCTCAGTGGGTTAAAGCCTCTGCCTTCGCCTCGGGTCGTGATCCCAGGGTCCTGGGATCGAGGCCCGCATCAGGGTCTCTGCTCGGTGTGGAGCCTGCTTCCCCCCTCCCCCCACCGCCTTCTGCCTGCCTCTCTGCCTACTTCTGATCTCTGTCTATCAAATAAATAAAAATCTTTAAAAACAAAACAGAACACCTTACTCAACAGAACCAAATGCTTGAGACAAGGTATTCTCTCGAACAACAAAATACAAGCAAGGACAAACCCACACCATCCACAAGCCCGAAAGGGTGTCTGAGTGGGCAGAAGCAGCGAGAAGCAGTAAGGCTGGTGGACTCGAGAACTGGAAAACCCCAACATAAACAGTCAGTACCCACAGGAAAGTGAAGGGCGCCAACTGGAAAGGAGTGGCTAAAACTAGGAGGTATCCTGCCTGAGCAGAGAGTAAATGGGGGTAAGGGGTCCCAACAAGATCTGGAAGACCTAAAGCAGCTCGTCCCTGAGAACTCTCAAGATTGGCCTCAGGACTCGCTTCCAGGAAGAAAAACTGCTGACGGTGGGATCAGGATTGAACAAGACAGAGTGACAGAGACAAAGGAAAGAATAGATCCAGATAGAAGTAGGTGAGGGGAATAGAGCCAGAAAGTTTCAGAAAGCAGGCGGTCATATTTTTGACAAAATAAAAACAACAGAAGACTAAGCCTTAAGAACTTATAAAACCTTCTTAAACCGGGCCTCCTAAAAGTTCAAGGAAACTATTTTTTCATAAAAAATTGAAAAATGGAGAAGTCCTGAGGTCAAATTCCATACAAAGTTATAAGAAGGAAGGAAAAAAGAAAATATCTCCCTATATACTATGAAAGCATGCCACAAAATGGAACATCCCACCCCCAAAAAGCCCAGACAGAGCCTACTATTTCAAAATAAGCTGAAAGACCTTAAGGAAACAAAATGACATAAAACATGAAAGACCATAACGCAGAATTAGAAAACTCATATAGTAAAAGAACACAGCAAAAAATTAGAAATAAAAATGCATTTCAGGAATACAAACTAAACTAGAAGGCACACAGGGAGAAATAAACACAACATATAATGCTCCAAGAGAAACAGAAGACGAACAACAGGAAAAACCAAGTAAAAAGGGAGAGACAGGAGGTAGATAGTGAAATACTGAAAACAGGCAGAAAAGATCTAACATACAAATAGTAAGCATCCTCGAAGAAGAAAATCAAAACAAGAGAACAGACATTAAACACTGTAGTTTTTTACACTTCCCTGAAATTAAAAGATTAAAAGAGATAATCAAAAGAATACACAGCAAACCTGAGCATATCCAACCAGAATGACTCCGATCAAGAGTTACTCTAGTAGGAGCACCTGGCTGGATCAGTCGGTGGAGTGTGTGCTCCTGATCTCGGGGTTGTGAGTTTCAGCCCCACGCTGGGTGTAGAGATTACTTAAAAATAAAATCTTTTGAAGAAAAGTTACTCTAGTAAAATTACTAGACAGACAGACAGAAAGAAAGGAAGAAAGAAAAGAAAAAGGAAAAGACAAGACAAGACAAGACATGCTATGGACATCTAGAATACATGTCTGTGAGGCTGTATTATCAGACTTGGGAGCAGCACTCTACACCAAAAGAGAAGAAGGGGATGTATTCAAGAAAAGAAAAGATGGGCCAAGGGTTTTCTATCCAGCCACAATGTCTTTCAAGTATGAAGGGCAAAGAGAACAGACATACTGTTAATAATGAGCAAGAACTTAGTGAAGACGATCCCGAGTCCTCCCTGAGGAATCGTCTAGAAAATCCGCTTCAGGCAATAAACGAATAAACAAGGAATGCTGACATAAGGACCACGGTAAACACTAAACATATAGGTACGTAGAGAAGCCTAAATGAGGACGAGATGGGGAGAGTGTGAGTTGCAATGGCCAGATGGCCAGGCAGGTGGAAGGAAGACAACTTAGCAAAAAAACTGGGGGAGTGCAGAGCGCGTAATGCAACAACAACAAAAAATTACATTCTTCTCAGGAACCATATCTGTGATGGCAGTAGTAATATTATCCTGATACTGTACGTAATATGGAATGAAGCAAGTAATCATGGGAGTATTTTCATTCTACCGTCCTCTGTAGCATTAAGAACCAGGATTCTTCACGTGAAAGAAAGGAGATTCAGATAAAATACAGGAGAAGCTAGGTATGAAGTACGCTGTGGTCTGAATTTAAATTGCGGCTATTTGTATGAACTCCTAACGTATTTTATCTGAAAAGTTATACGTACATGCATATGTAGACAAATAAGAAAATAAAGAATTTCCTGGGTACATCTAGAAAAGGGGCCTGGAAACAATGACTGACCTAGAAGCCATAAGCACTCTTAGCACTCAGATTTTGGTCTGAAGGTACTACTCTCTGCTCAGAGAAGTAAGAGTTACTCAGAGAATGGTTACTACCACATTTGGGGGAAAAAAAACGTACTATTTGAGTCCGGACTCACGTCAAAAGACTCAGGAGCCAACCTGAAGAGGCTCATACTGGCCAAAGATAAGACAATTTGAGTTTCTGTAACGAAAACAGTTATGGTGGAATGAAAACCCAAATATGTTTAAATCTATAATTTCTTAATTATATATATTTTTAATTATTGGGCAACTTCAGAGGATCAGAGTTTGTTTTCTAGAAAAATGTTAATAGAAAGATGAGAAATTTTGCTTTTCCTCAATGAACCATTGTTTTACCGAATCACAGATGGGAGATGTCTCTATAAAAGCATTCCAATTAATGAGAAATGGCAGAACTGAAATATCACCATATTTATAAGTCCTAATAATTCAATGAATCGATGAATGAAGGCATTGAGTATTAACAGTTGCTAACATCATAGAAAACGAGACAAGCAGACCCTATATTGCCTCCCATTGAAACAACAAACACCCCCTACTGTCTGGCCAAAGGGACCAGACATAAATTTGACTGAGCCTCTGGGTCCACCTGCCGTTTCACAGGAGCTAGAGGGGACGGAGGGGTGCAGTGAGCTGTATGGTGAGTGTCTAATGAGCAACATGCAGACTGTAGGGAACTCCACAGGTCAAATGGCAAGTTTCTAACAGATTAACTAAAAAGCAAACCAAGGGTGGAAGCCAAACCTATACATTAAGAGATTCAAAGGAAACCCAGAGTTTCTAATGAGCAAGACTAAACTTCACTCTCTAGGAATATATAAACTTTAGGGATATAGGGTAAAGAGACAGGAAATAGGACTATAAAAGTCACGGTGGTGGTTACCTTGGTGGGAGGGAGGGTGCGACTAGGACGGGACATAAGGAGGGGCTTCTGGGATGGCTGGCAAGTTCTACTTCCTGACCTGGACAGGGCTTATGAGAACGTTTGCTCATTACCCCATAACTCAATCTGCTGGAATTCCTCAATCTAGGTTATATCTTTAAATAAAAAATATAAAAGTTTAAATAAAAAATATAAAAGTTTAAAAAAAAAAATAAAAAACCTCTCCAGATCCCTTACCTGTGCCTTGGCTAATTTCTTTTCCAGAAGGTCTCGTTCCCGCTCCGTTTGCTGTAGACGTTTATTAAGTTCCACTATATCTCCCTTGAGTGATGCCAGGGCTGCCAAGTGGAGCTGTGGTGACAGAAGGAAAGGAACACAAGGTTAGATCCTTTGGCAGAAACTCGTTCCTTCCCTGTAATTAGTGTGATCATATAAAAAAAAAAATGTCGCAACTCCAATGGGTGCTATTAAATCAGGTGTCGGGCAGGCAAGCCGGGGTATATGGTGGTCACCGTAAATGTAACAGGGAGAAAACTCACATGTGGGCAGCGGGACCTAATTTCGGGGGTCCCATCAGAATAGAGAACAAAGCTCCTCACTCTGAGGGCTTTCCCTCTGTTACTCAGCAAGGGTGCGATTCCATTGCTGGTGGGGGGTTGTCTGATTCTCAACCCGAGCCACGAGAAAGAAGGAGAACCAGATCAGCTTTGAACTCACTTTGGAACATATGAAAGTTGGACACGGCAACTCTGTGACCCATCCTGCTGCGTGTACAGACAGATCACGGGGCCGAGTTCAAGAAAAGCTGGGCGAGCTCATTTTTGGTCAGCTGGTCCCCCCCATAAAGTCGGTCCTTTATTTCCTTGCCAGCTCATCTTTCCTCATTGTCCTCCAGACACACTACATTGCCCAGATGTTGCTTCTGGGCCCTCTTGCAGGACAGAACAAGAACTCTGATAAATGATGCTCAGAGAAGACACACCAAGAATCCCCCCAGATCCCCTTCCCCAGCCAACTCCCTCAGGTTAACTGGAGCTACAAGGGAAGTTCTTCAACACATTAACAAGGGGTACCCAGCACCCCTAGGATCTCAACGTGCCCAACTTCCGAGCCCAAAGACTGAGCTTTGCCAGCACCAAAACTAGCCCAAGAACCTTTGTGGCTTTTCAGGGCGATGGACGGAGCTCAACACTCACGTCCCAGAGTAGCACCCTTCAACCTTCTTTGTCTTCTGAGTCACTGCTTCTCTTCGGTCTTCACCGGCAGCTCCAACGGGGGAAGGGTGGACCATTCCCTAGCCAAATTCCACACTCCATTTGGGTGACTGACTAGGATCAGAACAAACCCTCCCTTCCTGACAGGTTTTTAGTAGTTTCTGCCAAGAGGGATTAAAGTAAAGAGTAGACAAATAAATGTGATCTTTAAAGATGGACGTGGTAGGACGGTCCACAGTTCAACTTTGAAGATTTTAATTGCAGGTTTAGAAAATGCTTTTCTGCAACTGCATGTCGGCTGGGAGGCTTGTTGGGGTGTGAGTGGGAGGAAGGGAGAAGGAGACCCAGGGCAGGGTCTGGGTTTTCAAAGCAGTTGTTTATGTTAGACTATCATGGCAGTGACCGTGACTTTGCTTCATTGCATCAGGGCTGCAAACCAACAGATCAATAGCTCATCTGAAATCAGGAATGCCTGAAATTTAAAAAAGGAAATGTCAGTCAATCTGGCGGTATTTGCCTTCTCATGTAGGGCTAGGGCTGCTCAGAAAAGGTCACTCTGGGTTTCAGATACAAGGTTTTGTGCGAGGAAGTCTCAGCACAAATACCACAGTGGTCCCATTGTAGTCTTTTTTTTTTTAATTTTTTTTTAAATTTATTTTTTAAAAGATTTTGTTTATTTATTTGACAGAGATCACAAGCAGATAGACAGACAGGCAGAGACAGAGAGAAGGGGAAGCAGGCTCCCAGCTGAGCGGAGAGCCCCGATGCAGGGCTTGATCCCAGGACACTGGGATCATGACCTGAGCCGGAGGCAGAAGCTTTAACCCACTGAGCCACCCAGGCACCCCTCCCATTGTAGTCTTTTGAGGCCATTCTGCTTCCAATAGGGTGGAGAGGGACACAAATTCACTCCTTCCTTAGACAGCTGGGTATCCCCTTCTTGCCTCTGAACTGGCCATCTGAAGATTCTCCTTCAGGGTCAGACATTGTGGTCTGTTAGACATTATGTCAAGACTTGAGAGAGGCTTTACCACCTCTCCTCTGGCCAGAAGGATGAAATTCATATAGAGCTGAAATGTTCCTAAAGAAATAGAAACTAAGTAGAAACTAAGATCCCAACGCTAAGCCCAGACATGCTTCCTCTCTCCTACATCTCCCTCCTACTTCCAGTGGGGGAAGGACTTGGGGGGAGAATTAGGAAGGCAAAGCTGATGGAGGAAGCTCTCAACTTCACACTTACATCATAAACTGGACCGATGGGGAGACACACAGAGTTGTTATTTCCATCATAGGACATGGCAGAGAGGGTCCAGGAAGGATCATCCCTACTGGGGAGAGGACCCAGCCTGGAACAGAGAACACCTTTGGGCCTTCCAGATTGCCAGGAAGATCCAAAAGATGTGTATTAGGGGCAAGTCTTCACTCTCCTGGATGGAAGATGCCGGTCCGTAAAGTGAGAACAGACCAGTCGTCCTTCACCTTCCCTAAGTCCCAAATCCCTGAAGAATCTAGGCAGGTGACGGACCCTTGTCCTAGAGAAGAGTCACGATTTGGGGGTTTATGGCGATGACACATTCTGGAAGCTTTCCACGACCTCCAAATTAAGAAACCACAGAGTCCGCCTAAGTTTCATAGACTCTCTTGTGAGTCATAGTCATAGTTGTTTGAGTGGGGAAAGGGCCCTGGGCACTTGACAGCACCCATTCCACCTTTGCAGGTGAGGACCTGAAACCCAGAGACTGACCTGCTCACTCAAGGTCCCGTGGGTTGCTCAGCCTTAGCACCAAGTCCATCACTGCCCTTTCCCCCACTATATGATGGTGTATCTGACAGCAATTCTCATGTTCTATGCAGGGAGAAAATTTTACTTAAAATATTTCCCTCTGATTGCAGAAAAAATAAAAATGTAACAGAAAAGTAAGCCAGAGAGAGGGCATTCTAACATTTTAGTGGTGGCCTCTGGATGGTTTCAGATCTCTGGGGGGACATTTTGAGTAAGTTTTTTTTTTTAACTTTTCTGTTTATTTTTAAGTGTGTGTGTGTGTGTGTGTGTGTGTGTGTTTAAAGAGGTTTTGTATTAAGAAACAAAGAGTTGTGACTCTATTTTCTACACATATAGGGCTGTGGCATAAAACTATAAAGGGTCTTTTCCCTTCCTTGCTGTACCTTTTTCTCTATCTACTAGCTCTTCTGATAGAAGATAAAACTCAAAGAAAAGGGGGAGGGTAGAATATACACATGTTCCCGTATGTTGCTGACAGTCATTCAGCAGAAACTAACATCAGAAGGTGAGAAGTAGAGTGGGCAAAGCAGGCGAGTCACAAGACGTGTTGCTTAGGAGGGGGCTGACGGCACCCCCTTCCTACCTCATGACTGATCACGAGAGGTGTGCTAAGTTCTCACGAGACGTTCCCCCATTAGTAATCCAGTAATCAAAAGCTAGCTTGACCTCCCTTCTTTGTGGGCTTCGCTCCCCCTCATTCTGGCAAACTTGTGGTAGCCCTGGGAATTCAAAGGCTGGGGAATGTGAGCGCAACACTCCAAGTATTAGGACACACCCCGTGCCCTGTCAAGGCAAGAAGGACAGAGGTCTTTGGGGTAAATTTTTAACAAGAGTAACAGTGGACTTAAATCTGGAAAGACAAATTTACCAAAGCAACCGAAACGATTAAATATCTGTAACAGGAAAATTGTATGTATACCCGTTTTTGAGATCTCTTTACTTGTTTCCTGGCTTTGGAAATGGTCTCTGGCTTGAGACAGAACTTCAGACATATGACCCATAAAGAACCATAAAAAGAAGATGTTTCACTAACCAAAGAGAAAAAATATATATGATGCTTAGAGTCTGTGCCAGCGTCCTCTCCAACTCATTTATTTTTTTTTAAAGATTTTATTTATTTGTTTATTTGACAGAGAGAGAGAGAGAGAGAGAGAGAGAGAGCGCGCGAGCAAGCGCACATGCAGGGGAGCAGCTGGCAGAGGGAGAAGCAGGCTCCCTACTGAGCAGGGAGCCTCCCGTAGGTTTTGATCCTGGGATCATGACCTGAGTCAAAAGCAGACATTTAACGCACTGAGCCACCCAGGCACCCCTCCAACTCGTTTTTCTCTTTGTGCTCTGCAACAAGAGCCCAGTTTTTAGCTGGTCATATCACTGCTGCTCGGCTGAATCGTCCCAGTTCCTAGATCTCGCTCCGCAGCTGGAGCCTGGCGTCGCTATATGACCAAGTTCTGGCCAATGAGATGTAAGTAGAAATACTATATGGGAGTTCTAGGAAAACATCCAGAAGAAGTCATTCCCCTTTTCTCTTACTCCATATTTGCTGCTTGGTACATTATGTGATGGCTGGAGCTCGAGCAGCCACTCTCCTTCATAAAGGTGAGCTCCACACTCTAAAGGGCCAAAACTAGGGGCGCCTGGGTGGCTCAGTGGGTTAAAGCCTCTGCCTTCGGCTCAGGTCATGACCCCAGGGTCCTGGGATCGAGCCCCGCATCCGGCTCTCTGCTCAGCAGGGAGCCTGCTTCCTCCTCTCTTCTCTGCCTGCCTCTCTGCCTACTTGTGATCTCTGTCAAATAAATAAAATCTTATAAAAAAAAATAAAACAAATTAAAGGGCCAAAACTTGCCCGAGCCCAGGCAAGTTTATAGAGTCACCATGCCAGCTTTGGACTGTTGGTGTCAGACTCCTGGAACAGAATAGCCAGCAACAGACCTCCACTGTATAGGCCACTCTTACGTTGAGGTACTCTGGCAAATGAAGTTGATCTAACCCTACTTTGTAAAGAATCATATATGCCTGGCTTCAAATCTCATTTAAGCCACTTGCGGGAGACTTGTCTTTAGATGGCTAATTTAATCACTTTGTCATAGGCTGCCACAGAGATAAATGAGACCACGCCGATACTGTAACTCGCCGGGTGTCTGGAACCAGGGAAGCATTCAACAAAAGCCCACGTCCTCTTTCCCAGTCAAGGCTTAAGTCAACGAGTTTCAAGTCAACAGCCTTCTTAGAAGAAGCCCCATCAAAGGTAGTGAGTGGGACATTCAACCGAGTGAGCAAGCCAGTCCTGTCTCAGAACAGCTTCCTTCCTGGTGGGTATCAGCACGTAAGTGGGAGACCAGAGCTGGTCCATCTGA